AACCCCAAAATCCTAAACCCAAAGCTCTACAGTCAACAGCCCTGTCCACCGTTCCGTAAGGGTCCAAGGTTTAGCGTTTGGGGTTTAAGGGTTTAGGGTTTTGGGTTCAGGGTTTAGGGTTTAGAGTTCAGGGGTTTAGGGTTTAGGGAGGCCCCCGAAATACCATAATCACAATAGTTTCTGGCACCGCAAGCCGTTACACTAGTGTCCTTGGACCCTTAAACCCTATACATATACCCCTAAACCCTGCACCCTAAACCCTAAACCCTGGCTGAGGATTGGCACTTGGAGTTTACTCAGGAGCCGAGGCGGGACTTCCAGCTGGGAGGATCTAGAAAGTACTATTATTTGCTTACGAACCCTAAAATAAAAGGTTTAGGGTTCAGGGTTTAGGGTTTAGGGTTCCATAATAATCCTTATATTAGCCTTACAGGGAAGAATATCTTCATATGGTGGTTCTTAAGCAAATAGTAAAGTAAAGGTTATACGGGGTTTAGGGAATAGGGTGGAGGGCTTACTTACTTAGCGAATAGAAGAACTCTGAACTTGTTGGGCTTCCTTTTGGTTCTCTATAGTAAAGCTTAAACTTGTTTATCCCTGGTTATTGGGGAAGAGAGCTTCAGGATCCAGAAAATAGATCCCCCTGAAGGGCTTCTAGAAATTACCCAAAAGTGGTTTCAGGTATGAAATTGGGGGGTTCTACTTTCGAGATCCTCCCAGGGGTCTGGGTTTACAAAAACTCTAAACTCTAAACCCTGACTGGTGTCGAGGCTTAGGGTCTTGGGGCTAGATAAAGGTTGGGTTTAGGGTTTAGGGTTGAGGAGACTTAGGGTTGAGGGCCTAGGACGAGGGATTTAGGCTTCAGGGTCTAGGGTTTTGGGTTCAGGAAGTTCAGGACGTCTAGGGTGCAGGGTTCAGGGTTTAGGGTTCAGGGTCTAGGGGGGAAGGATTTGGGATTGAGAGCTGAGCATTCAAGGCTTCGGATGCTGGTTCACGGTGTAGCGTTTAAGATCTGGGAGGCAGGGTCATTGGGGTATACATCTTCCTATGCGACCCCCTCCACCCCAGCCCCCCCACCCCCGCCACCACTTCAATGAGCGGATCACTGGCATCTTCAGTCCTGCCACCTGCTACCTATCTATGGTTAGCAGGGAATGAAGGAATGCAAAGTAACATGGAAACTACCATACAAGCATGTTGGATGAGATAGGGATACTTGCCTCTGGTTAATCCCCCTAAACCTGTTAAGGTTCCATGTCTTCATTCCTCGCTGACCAGATCTAAGACATTAAGCAGACCCCACATATGAGACTACCCTAAACCCTCAACCCTAAATCCTAAACCCTAAACCCTCAACCCTAAATCCTAAACCCTAAACCCTAAATCCTAAACCCTAAACCCGTCAGGTATGATTCCGCCCGGCTGAAGCAGCTGAATGCAACGCTGCACCTCGGCACGTGGGGACGGACATCCATTATGGGCTATTAGACCCTAAATTTCCCTATTAGGACCCTAATAAGAGTGGCTAAACCCTAAACCCTAAACCCTAGAGTAGAATAGGGTACCCTTAAGGTCTCATAGCCCATCCTGAATTGCAAGACTCCAACAGAACCCCGATTGAGTTTAGGGTTGGGGGGTTAGGATTGAGGGTGAGAGGCAGATTCAAGGTGATCCTAACCTGCCCAATTACTTAGGACTAGGCTTGCAGCCAAACTTTGAAAAGCACAAGAAAAATAGGGTGTTAACCATAGCCTCAAACAAGTTGAGAGTTTCATTGAACTTTCAAGTAGGCCCTAAACCAACAGATCTCATGTTGAATCCAATTGCCTTACATTCCAGGGTTTGGGGGTTTCAGTTGAGGGTTTATGGTCCCTGTACCCAAATAATGGATCTCCAGATCCCAAATACTCTCGAATCGGTATGGAATTTGGTGCCTGAAACACTGGATACTTGGACCCGTAAGGTTCTGTGTATTGAAATACCATGTCGCCTCCATTGCTTTCAAGTTAGGGGCTCGATTTTCTCGTCCTTGCCTTAGACTGGGTTTAGGGTTTAGGGCTTAGTATCTTAGATGCTGTAGACATGAATGATGAACAACCCATGGCGTAGTGACCCCTGAAACCCTTAACGATTCAAGGTTTACGGTTAGCGATTAAGGTTTAGGGTGTAGGGCCTATAGCTCTTAGGCCCTAAGCCCTAAGTCTTAAACCCTAAACTTCATTGCTGTCAACAGTCGAAATTAGCGTCGCCGGCCTTGTTGGCAGCATTCAACGAACATGGAAACCAGTGGAGTCCAAAACTTTTTCAATCCAGAAAGTTATTTCCCAAATGGTCCAAGGACCCAAGCAGTAGGGTTATGGGGCCCAACTACTACTACATTAACGTTTTTTGGCCTAAAACCCTATTACTTGGGTCCTTGGACCCTTAGGGTACCCTAAACCCTAAACCCTGCAAATAAGATTGGAAGCATAGCCAGTGTTGAGGTAAGATATGTCACCGCTGCTAGATCCCCGACATTAGCCGTCTCGGAACGGAGGAGTGGGACTGTTGACGTTTACAAACAGATGTCAAACTCTAAGGGTCCGAGTACCTACTTACCCAAAACCTGTACTGTAACTGCTAGTACCCAAATTGCAAGTACCTAATCATTGGGTACTGGGGCTTAGGGATAGCGACAATTGTAGGGATCTACTCCTCACGCCCTTGACAAGCCGCCTTAATTGCCGCCTTAAACCTTAAATGCATATGGGTACTTCCCGAAATTAGGGGCCCCCTTTACATATCAAGTGCCGTAATATAATCTATAACCCAAAAGGGCCCAGAATTTCGAGAACAAAGCATATGCAGTCCTTAGAATCTCAGCTTGCATTGTCTCTTCTGGTCTATGTTGAGGTTCCCCCTTCTGGAAGCTACCACTTAGGCGACCGATCTTTGATCGAAGCGCCGTGCCACGAATGGGAAACTACGGAATGTGGCCTGGATGCAGCCCATTGAACGATCCCTAAGGGTCCAAGTACCCAATGATTAGGTACTTGGGATTTGGGTACTAGCAGTTACAGTACTGGTTTTGGGTAAGTATATGATTATGAGGTACTTCGACCCTTAGGGGATGTTCCCGGTGCTCAAACATCAGGCCTTTAGGTATACAAACCATTAATTTTGTGGTTTTGTCGAGCTTCGGAGCCATGATTGGGCACTTTTAGGGTGTAGGGTTTGAGGGTTTAGGGACCCTAGTTGCAACCGGGCATTTAAAACATGATGCGAAGTAGCCTTGAGGGTTTATAGGCGATTATGGGCTTTATAGGGCTTGGGGTTTAGGGTCTAAGTCTAGGGTATTCAAGTAGGGTTCCTGACAGTCCGCCACTTTGAGAAACGCCAGCTCTGCTGGCAGTTAATTGTATAATTCCTTAAACCCCAAACCCTACCCCCTTTAAGGAGTTAAGTCTATAGCTCAGATCTAGCTTTTGAACTGCAGGTAGCCGGAGCTTAAGGTAAGTTTTACTTGGTTTCTGTACTGTAAGGAACATAGATTAAGTTGCTATACTAGGGGTCTGTAATAAGTTTTACGGTTCCCGAATAAGATTATATGGATTACATTAGTCAGAAGTCTTTAGCTGAGTTTAGGGTCTGTAAGCCTGGAAGGGGCGTACAATTGTTTAGGCTTCAGGGTTTGACGGCCAAAGGTCCAGGAGCTCTTACACAATTTTCCAGGAAGTTCGAACGAGTTCGTGCATGGGCTTTGGGTTTCGGGTTTAGGGTGGCTATTTCTGGGGAAGCTTCAAAAGCATGAGTTGCTTGGTGGTGTTTTGACGAGCCTGTTTGGATCATGTGGGGGACTCTGCAGGGATTTCAAGGACCCAGTCCCGTCTCAAAGCTCAAGGCAATCCCAGGGCGGAGGTTTGGGATCCCATTATGAGGGCCCAAGAGCCTTAGGGTCGGCAAAACTTTCAGGGAGCGGGCGGCATTTCCAGGTTGCCATCAGGGCCCAGTTGCCGCCAGTAGATGGTCATTATCCTCCAACGAGCACGTTCGAAGCAGACTCTCCTGGGTTGTTCCCAAAATTAGGGGCCCTTTTGGGTTATAGATTTAAGCCCTAAGCTCTAAACCCTATGGATTATATTACGGCACCTAATACTTGGAGGTGCCGAAATGGGACCCTACTTTTGGGAACTACCCTCCTAATGGTTGCAGAGCAGCAGAGCATTGAGCAGGCTGCTTTCCGCTTGAAGCCCATCGAGCGAAGCGTAATTAGGGTTCAAGGTTTTGCGCTTATAGGGTTACAGGGTTTAGGTTAATCGTTTCGGGTTATCGCGTTTAGGGTTATAGGTTGTAGGGATTGGTTTTTAGGGGATCCACCAACGCACCAGCACGCTGCAAGCTCGCATGCGCGGCGCCGGGCAGGGCCTTCAGCGCGAGAAGAACCCTAAACCCAAATCCCTGTACCCCTAAGCCTAAACCCTACACCCTAAACCCTAAACCTTAAACCGTAATCTCTAAACCTTAAGCCCTGAACCTTAAACCCTAGACCCTAAACCCATGCATGTTTCTGAACAGCGGGCGTTCGTTGGCCTGCCAGACCACATTCCAGTCCAAGCTGTAGAGCTTAGCCCCCCCGGCTTATCATGGACTCCACATAGACAGGCTTGAAAAGGACGGCAGTCCCTAAATCCTTAAATCCTAAATAGTAGTTTCCATGTTCTTTCCCATTATCCCTGCATAAGCCCCAAATATCTCCGATGTAATCCCCATATAATCTTGTAAGCTAGCTGGAGAAGTTTGCGTCTTCAGCGAAACTGAGGCCTGATAGGGGGTGGCAGTTGCTCTGGATCAGGCCCCCTCTTGAGCCTCCAAAATTAGAATGCTCTAAACCCCCAAGCCCTAAGCCCTAAACCCTGAAACCCCAAACCAAGAACATCGAAAATGGATGGGAACTGGTTTAAGTGGGGTTGTATAGCAATACATATCAGTATCACGGTCCAGAGTCCTTGTAAAACTGTGTCCTAGAGCCTAGGTTGCAAAAGATAGACTTGAAAAGCCTACTGATAATCATGTGGTTCCCTGCAGTTTATGATGGTATCAGAGCGTTTTGAGCTTGTGGGTTTCATGCTCAAAGACATGATTACACTAAACCCTAAGCCCTAAACTCCCTACACCCTAAACCTTAAACCGTAGTAAACTCTAAACCCTAAACCCTAACGCAAAAACCGAGGCTCTATGGCCATGTCAGGATTAAGGGCGTCGACATCTACTTCCTGGATAACTCCAACTACCAGCCCCTCAGTCATACTAAGGCTCAACATTTGTTAGGGTTTAGGGATCAGGGTTCAGGGATGAGGTTTTGGGCTTAAGGGTTGAGGGTCAAGGGATTCGGGTTTAGGTGTAAGGCGTTAAGGGTTTGGGATTTGGGGTTTAGGGAGTGGGGTCTAGGGTTTACGGTACAGGGTCTAGGGTTTAAGCATAATCTTCCTCACAGTATCCGCAGTAAGGACTTCGCTGAGTATCTCAACATCCCGATGAGTCGGTACCCTAAGGGTCCAAGGACCCAAATAATAGTGTTTTAGGGCCCAATGACTATAAGCCCTCTAAAGGGACCCTATTATTTGGGTCCTTGGACCCTTAGGGGGAGGGTACCAGTTTTTCGGACATCCCCATGAATCTCCACGCCAGCTTCAAGGCTTTGACCACGAAAAAACATCATGACCCCAAAGGGTTTGGGGTTTAGGGTTTGGGGTTTAGGGTTACCCCAAACCTTAAACTCTAAGCCCTGAAATGATCTCAGAGGGCATGTAGGCTCTAGCTTGTCGACCTGCAGGATGTGCCCTGCAAACAATTTCTTCCCCATGATGGACACATGGACCCTGGCCCAACCATCTAGAAGCCCCCGTTGCTGAATCCGACGCCTTAGACCGCTTTACAAAGACCTGTTTCCTAAGCGCAGAGCTATATATCTCTAGACATCTCTCTTCTAAATAGACTCTCTGTCGCTGTGCATGTATACATATATGTACTCATATATGTATATATATATATATGCATATATTATGGATACATATCCTTGACACGCTCTCAAACTCAAGCCCCAAGTGCTAAACTCCTTGAACCCTACACACCCCCAGATCTAAACCTTAGATCCTACATCCCAAGCCCTGAGCGCTAAAGCACCGCAACCCTACACTAAATGGTGAAGGTTAGGTGTATAGTCCCCCTTAAATAGATAGAATATTGGTTATATGGGGATCTTATTATAATACACCCAAACTACTAACCCTTGACCCCCAACCCTGAGCGCTAAAGCACCACACTGACTCAGGATCAACCAGGAGCAGCTCGCCTTTGCCAGGGACCACATCAGTCGTCGAAGCCCTGAGGCAGTCAAGCCCCAAATCCAAGGTCTATCTTGGTGTGTCTGGACTCAGGGGGTTTCTTGTAGGGTTTAGAGCTTTTGGCTTGGATTTGAGGATTTCGAGTTTTGCGTTAAGTTGATTTGGGGCTTATGGTCCAGGATCAAGTTTTACCCCGGAACCCAAACAACCAGCAAGAAACAGTTCATGCCCAAATAACATCTAGAGTTTGTAAATGTTTGTAATCTACTCCAAGATTGGTTGCTTTAGGAACCCTAAACCCTAAACCCTACCATTTGTTTCTGGCAGCCCCAAACCCCAAACTGGCTTCAGTTTTGGAGGTTCAGGGCATCTGGGCCCCTGAATGTCCTTCTCTTTGTTGGTGCTTGTCCGATCTTGTTCAGGGCTTTCAAGACGATTTGGAAACAAATATGCAGTGACTCTTGACAAGCAGCCGTGCAAACCGAGAATTTACGCAACGTCTTTTTCCAACTTTCCCTAAGCGTCCAAGGACCCAAATAATAGGGTTTTAGGAATGGTCCCTAAAACTCTACAATTTGAGTCCTTGGACCCTTAGGGGTCTACTTCACCAGCCCTGAACGCGGAACCCTAAACCTACTTGCAGAATTCCGGATCCATCAAGTCCCTCCCTAAACCCTAAATATTCCTTAGGCGGGTTACCTGAACCCCCAAAGTATGTAAAATCATCGCCTTTTGGGCTATTATTTCATCTACTTTCGCGCTTGCCCTAACATTGATTCTTCGGCTCGTTCCCGCACGAGAAGGTTGATTAAGCCCGATTGCTTACGCTCTGCAGCAGAGAGTGCTAGTAGTAAACGGTACCACCGAAACCCTAAATTCTAAACCCTGTCATCTAGTCCTGTTGAGCCACCAGGCCTGTGACAGGGTTCTGCCATGAATTAGATTCCTACGACATGTATGTTTCTCCTTCAAAGAATAGCCATATACGTCCCTAGACGTGTATATATATATATACACACCTTTACTTACAATACTATCTATACATATATATATATACAGATACCCCTACCCAGAATGCCTCAGGGTTACAACCATGGCACCCCCAAACAAACCTTCGTATAGAAATCTACGGGCCTGAACCCTAAGATCTTAAGCCCTAACTACGAACTCTATAACCCAAAGCCCTCAAACCTCAACCATAAACCTGAACCCCAAACCCCGAACTCGATAACCCAAAGCTCTCAAACCTCAACCCTAAGCCTAGACCCCAAACCCCGAACTCTATAACCCAAAGCTCTCAAACCTCAACCCTAAACCTAGACCCCAAACCCCGAACTCTATAACCCAAAGCTCTCAAACCTCAACCCTGAACCCAATGTTCGCCTCTGCAGGGGTCGGGTCCTGCGGTGCTCCTTCTGCACATGCCGCTGGCTCTGCCAGGCTGTCGCGGATTTGAGGGTTCAGGATGATATAGTCTCTCTCAAGTAGCTACAATATGGGTTTAGGGTTTAGGCTTTAGGGTTTATAGTCTCCCTTAAGTAGCTACAATATGGGTTTAGGGTTCAGGGTTTATAGTCTCCCTTAAGTAGCTACAATATGGGTTTAGGGTTTAGGGCTTATAGTCTCCCTTAAGCAGCTGCAATATGGGTTTAGGGTTTAGGGTTTTTAGTCCCCCTTAAGTAGCTACAATATGGGTTTAGGGTTTAGGGTTTACAGTCTCCCTTAAGTAGCTACAATATGGGTTTAGGGTTCAGGGTTTATAGTCGCCCTTAAGTAGCTACGATATGGGCTTAGGGTTTAGGGTTTATAGTCCCTCTTAAGTAGCTACGATATGGGTTCAGGGTTTAGGCTTCAGGGTTTATAGTCTCCCTTAAGTAGCTACAATATGGGTTAGGTGTTTAGGGTTTACAGTCTCCCTTAAGTAGCTACAATATGGGTTTAGGGTTTAGGGTTTATAGTCCCCCTTAAGTAGCTACGATATGGGTTTAGGGTTTAGGGTTTATAGTCCCCCTTAAGTAGCTACGATATGGGTTTAGGGTTCAGGGTTTATAGTCGCCCTTAAGTAGCTACAATATGGATTTAGGGTTTAGGGTTTAGGGTTTATAGTCCCCCTTAAGTAGCTACGATATGGGTTTAGGGTGTAGGGTTTATAGTCTCCCTCAAGTAGCTACGATATGGTTTCATAGTCCCACTTAAGTAGATAGAATATGGGTTTTGGGTGTAGGGTATAGGGTTTAGAATGATACAGGCCCTTAACTAGAGAGAATATGAGGTATCTGTGGATCATATCACAGTATACCCAAAGCCATTTTCTATCTACTTAAGGGGGACTATAGGCTTTAGGATTTCGTCTGGTTTTGTTCAATCAGCTGTTGACGTTATCTGGAGATCCGCTTGACACTGAGCGTTCTCAAGCCTAAGCGGGGAACCCCAAACCCTGAGTGGTTCAGTAACTTTCTACTGCAATTCCTAGCCCTGCTTCAGGCGGTTGTAAGGACTTAAGTGCCCGAGGGATGTGGCTTCCAAAAGGGCCCTTAGACTTAATATGGATTTTTTAATATACTGTATACTGACCCAGACCATACGGGAAGTTCCTACTACAGAAACCATGCTTTCATACTTTGTACTACGCCGGTACTTTGGACCAGTTAGGGCTTGTAACATTGTAGGTCCCAAATACGGTAATCTCGACGGTTAGTCAGTACTTTCAAGCCATGTATCTCTAGGGTTCCAGTTACCTAATAATGGGTTCTAGGTTCTATACACCCTATAGTTACATAGCCCAGCAATCTACTATTTAGGTAACTAGGAGCCCTAGGGTAAAGCTATTGGGACCTTGAAGTCGAACGTAGGATCTTCGAACAATGGGTGCCTGCCTCTTCGGAGATTTGATGGGACCTTGACTTATACGGGGTTTGTAGAGAATAAGGCAATATGTTTTTACCGGACTTGTTAGGCGTTCTCTTCCCTTATTCCCATCTAACCCGCAGTGACTTGATGAGGGCACCGTGGACACCACAACGCCTCACCAGTCTTCCCTCACGCTCAAAAGAGCCCAATGTAGGTAGTATTTACAGACTTTAGGGCTTTTTTCAGCCTAAGTAGATTGAATATGGCGTATACGGGGATCTTACTATACTATAGCCAAAGCCATATTCTATCTACTTAAGGAGGACTATGTTTTTTGTACTTGGATTACAGACTTTAGGGTTTAATGCAGTAAACCCTACGCCCTACACCCAGGGAAGGAGAAGAGCGCGGAGTCTAATCCGACCTTCTTGATACGGCGTTGAGTACCCTAAACCTAAACCCTAAACCCCGAATTGAGTAACGGGTACCCTGACGACTGACGAGAACACCTCTTTCACCCTTGGAGTCAGGTGAGCTATAGTCTTTTATATAGAATTATATAGGGTTATATAGGGATTATAGGGATAATGGAAAAGAAAATGGAAGCTACTATTTAGGGTTTAGGGTTTAGGGTCTAAAGTCCTTCAAGGGGTGTTATATAAGGGATTATATAGGGGACTACTATAGGGGATATTGAGGGGAATACGAGGAGTTTAGACTATAGGTCATGTGGTTTAGGGTTTAGAGCTTGGGGTTTAGGATTTAGAGCTTAGGGCTTAGGGTTTATAATAGGGTTTATAATAGGGCTTAGAGCTTAGGGCTTAGGGCTTAGGTTTTATAGTAGGGTTTAGGGTCTAGAGCCTAGGGCTTAGGGTTTGTAATAAGTTTTCCGGTTTAGGGTTTAGAGCTTCGGGTTTAGGGCTTAGGGTTTAGGGTTTAGGGCTTAGGGCTTAGGGTTCAAGGATTACGGTTCAAGGTTTAGCGTTTAAGGTGTAGGGTTTAGGGTTAAGGGGTCAGGGTTTAGGGTTGGATCAAAGCAAGGGCGTCCTCTACCTGGTTCATTTTCGATAAGGGTCCAGGTTAGAGATTTCCTTGAGGATCTCCTGATTGAATATTTTAGCTTTGCCAAGGTTTATTTCAGGATTTCAGGATTTGTCAGAGTTCATGTCTTCTGCACGGGCGGTCTCTGTAGGCATTCATTGCATTTTGGGGAGCAATTCCATTGGAAGCTAAATGGGGCTTGGCTAAACAGTACGCGTCTGGTTGTGAACCATACAATGAGGTCGTGACCGATCTTAGCCCAAATCCCCCTTGTTGCTAGATATTGTTGGCTCAGCTTAAATTTGTTTCACAGCCTCCTCACCCGGCCAGAGAAATGTCTGCGCGGACCCAGATGCTTGAAGTGAGCCCCGTACAGAGCCCAGTGCACCCCGTTGTAGCTAACCCGACACTCAGTTCCTGCCATTCGAGAAGCCGGAACCACGCTCGGGCCTCAGCTTTGATTCTACAGAGGGTTTTACGCTTGATGTCTTAGCTGAACCTACTGCGAGGTGTGCAGCCCGTGAGCCGCCCGGTCAAGGACATCCCGGCAAGTGGTGCACTCAGAAATGCAAACTCCACTGCTTCGTGGGACGCAGTCCCCTGCTGTGGATTCGCCCAGGTGCGGCCGGCCTCCAGCGGGAGAAGCGGAAGTGGGAGGCCTGCTGTAGTGTAAAGCATCTTAGAAAACCCCCCGGGGCCGTCCTGCGATCCCTGTGCCAAGATCATGGCACAACATGGCCAAGCAGAACGCCATGCGCTGACCTCAGAAGGCATCTAACTGCGTAGAAATTGCCACACAGAACCAAACATGCAAAACCTAAGGTATCGAAGCCCCGCTTCATGGGCACTCCCGCGACTCCCGCGCCCAAGGAGGTTGGCAGTGCTGCGTAGTTGTGTATGTGTGTGTGTGTAGTGCAAACACGGTGCCAGGCCACAGACAGGCGGCAGCGCAAGCAGCAACGCCGCAAGGCAGGCTTGCGACTTGGAAAGCCCGCGCAAGTCAGAAGGGCGTAGGAGATGTGTGACAGGCTGCGCAAGACCAAAACATGGCCACGAAGACGGGTCGGGACCTTCGGCTCGAAGAGTGCGGACCCAAGTTCTCGTCTGTAGATTAGGACCGACACACGCGCCGTCAGCTAAGGGTGGAGCTCTCCGAGGAGGCGCCGACCTCAGCATTCCGCCTCACATGAACTTCAGCCGCGTGACCACTTCTTGCCAACCTCTTTCAGGTAGTCCAGGTGTCGCATCATTATATATTCAGCCAAGATCTATACATCCCTATTTATCCTCAGGGTCCCCAGGAGGATACCTTTTTCAGAAACTCCTTAAGTATGGGCCCCTCATGGCTATAATAGAAACTCCTAGTATCACCCTTAATAACCCCTACAATAGTCCCTATACAATCCCCTATATAAGCCCCTTGAAGGAGTTTAGACGCTAAGCCCTAAACCCTATCTAATCCCGTATACAACCCCTCTTTTTTAGGATTTTTCACTATAGCTCATATAGAAATACCAGAAAATCCTTGTCCAGAGGCGTTAACCTTCCACCAAAAGTGCCTTGGATGCTCTTGGGAGAGAGGAGTGGTAGAATAGGGTGTGGGCTTTCGGGCTGAGGGTCTAGGAGAAGTTTACTCATGTCATTTGCGAATAGACCTTCTACAATCAAGGCATGAAGTACTCGCAAGGCCCCCTATTCAAAAGGTGTAGGTTTCCAAGTGAGTAGATGCTGTCACGCCATGGAACCTGATAGGGTTTCATTGGTTGTGCAAGGGTTGCAAGCAGTTTATGTTTTAGGGCTCGGAGATCAGGTTTCAGTTTCAAGAGTTTACGGGCTTGGGGCTTCGGAGGGCCCCGAAGTGTCGGGGGCCCCGGGAGCAACGTTTGAGGTTCAAGGTTTTGTGGCTTGGCATGCAGGAACCCATTGCAGCAAGAGCTTAATGACAGGATTTTCCTGTTTGGCTACGGCTCTGGAGGAGCGTATCTCTTCATGCAGTTTGTGATCCTGTAAAAGCCTGCATGATTAAGAAGATCCTGTCCGTATAAACCTTCTACAAGGATGGCATGAGATGAGAAACCCCTGAACATTTTTCAAACAATGCAAAACCCTGCAACTTCTTTTTGCTTTGCCTCAGTCATATTTCCAGGTGCTCCTTTTGAGGATTAACGACTGAGGCTCAGACCCTAAACCGACAACCCTAAACCCTACCTGAACCCCCAAAGTATGTAAACTAATTGCCTTTTGGGATAGTTTTAGTGCTTCTGGGCTATTACTTTACCTACTTTTGGGGTTTAGGTAAACGCTACCATGTGCTCAGAGACCCCATCCCGTACAGGCTCAGATGGGGGTCATCTCATGGAACGACTAGGTACTTAGACCCTGAACTCCAAAAAACACTAAACCCCAAACCTTAAACCTAAACAGCTCCTGATCCTTATAGCTCACTCGATCCTTGCTGCACCCTGCTTCCTCGCCCCTAAATTCCAAACTTGGATTGAAGATCTCTTAAGTAGAGCGGGTTTAGAGTTTAGGGTTATTAAGGATTAGATCGTGTAGATAGGGCTACAAAGTGTTTAGGCTTTAGGGCTTCCAAACATTTGCAGTCTCGGCTTGGATAAATTACAAGGATTATCGTATGTTTGGTCTTACATGTGCAGACTACTAAACCCTAAGCCCAAAACCTTATTGCCACCGAAACACAAGGCCACCGTCTCTCATCCCGACACTTTACACTGCCAAGGTACGCCAGTAGTACCCTTTTTCCTTTTTTGGGGAGGTCTTCTTATTAAAGCTGAACAGTAGGAAAAAGCGTAGCCTTACTATGAAGGGGTTACTGGGGACTTAGCTACAAAATTGATCTGTTCATGCGCAAGCCGAATCTGCCAAGGGGAATTAGTCGTTTGACCTCTAAATCCACACGTCCAATTTCCTAAACCTTAAACCCTAAACCGTACCCCAAATCGTTCTGTAAACCCGCAAGCTGCAAGCCCAATCGGTCAAACTTGTAAACATCCGGATCTTATCCGGCTTTCTCACAGTCGTACCCCCCTACAAGTCCTGTGGGTGCACGCTGTTCTTCCCCTGTGGTCCCGTACATCCGCGTATCCGCTTCTCATACATCTGCGTATCCGCTTCTAGGAGACCGCCAACTGAATCCCTAAGGGTCTGAGGACCCAAATACTAGGCCCAAATACTATGAGGTTGAGGGTATAACTGGGCCCATAATCCTATGTGCTTGTAGCAGCCCTCAGTGGTAGCATAGGGGCTTCCTCAATTATAAGTAGGGTGATAACACCAGTTCTGAGTATTTAGATACGAAGTCTATTGAACCTCCACATACACCCAAATGGTAGACTCAAAACCCTCAAAAAAACAATCCCATACCCTAAACCCCAAGTCCCAAACCCGGAACCCTAAACCCTAAACCTCAAAGCCTAATCCCTAACGCCTAAACCTCAAACTCGAAACCTCAAACCCCAAACCCGGCCTAATCCCTCAACCCTAAACCTCAAACCCGAAACCTCAAACCCAAAACCTGAAACCCTGAAGCCTAAACCTCAAATCGTAAACTTTTCAGGAAGTCTGTGGTAATCCAACCTGGGGGGCGTCGAGCGACGACCTCTCGGAGATTGAGGGCCGTCCTGCTTGGCGGCTGGGCTTAGGGTTTAGGTTCTGATTTAGGATTTAGGGTTTAGGGTTCGAGGGGTTGAAGGTTTTAGGGGTTTAGGGTTTAGGTTCTGGTTTCGGGGATTGAGGGCTTAGGATTTAGGATCTAGGGCTTAGGCTTTAAACTTTAATGAAGGTTGAAAGGATTTACTGTTTAGGTGGTTGTTGGGTTCATGTTTGGGGTTGAGGATTTAGGCTTCAGTGTTTCAAAAAGTAGGGCCCCTGTTTCGGAATTCCCATAAGAAGGATGATCATTTATTGAAGCGACAGTGGGTCCTCTACTTACGCAAGCTTCCATATAGCACTGTGCTTGCTTAGGCTTCTTTTTGGTGTTTACTACGAAGTTAGGGATTAGGGCTTAGGGTTCGGGGTTTAGTTCATGAGGGGAGCTTACTCTATACTAGACTTCGAGGGGTACTGGGAAGCCTTGTTGAATTCCCAAGTTTATACGTATAACCCCCAAATCCCTCAATTGCAAGCCAAGATCGCCTCCAAGCAGGGTTTAGGGTCCGGATCCGAACCCCTGGGAGGATCCCGTAAACCCTTAGGGACATGGTTTGCCCCCCCTCCCCTTGTACAGTACAGGGTGGTGGCAGCTAGTATATACAGTTCCGCCAGACATGATCATGTTAACTGCCCTGCGGGCGTCGGTGCTTAATTTAAAGAGAGTGCCATAAATCATACAAGGCTTGCCTGTGATGAGTTTTTACATTCATTGGTGAAAGGATTTGGGAAGTTCTGGGTTACACTGGCCCAACTAGGGGTTTGGATTGTTGAGTCGCGCAGAGGACGTAGAGTTCAGCGTTGGTCTCCCTATCAGGGATCTAGAGGCTTCCAAACATTACGGGTCCCTTTGTACTGGTATGTCATACGGGCTGAGCTCCATTTGGGGGGCATGAAGGTGACCTCTCATTCTTGGAAACCTAAAACCCTAAACCCCTAGAAAGCCCAGCGCTCACACAGAATTCCGAGGACCTCTCCAGATAAAAAAAAGAGATAGGTACATTGCTGAGGGTCCGGCTATCCAAATATGGGTGTACCCGAGCTCCAAAAGCATGTAGACTAGTGGCCTTTTGGGCAAGTTGTAGGGGTTTGGGGCTGTTATTTTACCTACCTTTCGGATCCAGACACTGATCAGTGGTTGCCTATGAGCCATAGTCTAAAATCCTTACAGGGGTTATATAAGGGATTATGTAGGGGACTATTATAGGGATTCTTAAGTGGGATACATGGAGTTTAGACTACAGCTCATATGTTTGTACATTTGTGGGATTGACATTCAGGGATTTTAGCTTCGGGCTTAGTAGGGTCCAGCACTTGGGAGTTGGAGAACAGTAGCTGTAACATAATGTAGTGATTAGTCGTTTTAAGGAAATAACCTAAATGCCTGTGTCCTCAACCCCGAACTACTATACCCCTAAACCCGAAATCCTTAACTCTAAACCTGTCCTAGGGTTTAGGGTCTAGGGCTTAACACCCCGGATGCCCCGGACTTTGCTCTCTGACTTCCTACCTCATTACTAGCGTGAGGTCACGCGGGGATGTCCAAAAAAAGGGGCCCCGATGTAGACCCCAAATACCATGCACCATCCTTGCGAGACTCCCTTACCCTAAGGCTCTGGTGCCCTCATAATGGGATCCCAGACCTTGGCCCCCAAAGCACAAACCTTCCCCCAGAAAACCCCAAACGGTCCTAGGAGCTCTAGGGTAAGAACCCTAAACCCTAATCCCTAAACCCTGATCCCTAAACCCTAAATCCTACTGAATCTCCCAGTTCCGGGTTTAATTTAGGGCTCCTTTTACAATCCCATGGGGATGCTGAAGGGCTGCTCTTGCAAAGCATCGTACAGAGGGCCTTTCATGCTTCGAACCCTTTGGGGGTTCTGTCTAGGCTCAAAACTCTAAACCCTAAACCGTACTAGCAGGATCCTACAAACCCAGACCTAAACTACATGAAAAAGGCAGAATCTTGAAGCCTCACAACCCCGAAAAGCAACCTTGAAAGCTTCTGGGTTTATTGTTTAGGGTTCTCACAGGGGTTCAAGTAGGCCAAGTGCCCCAAAGCTTTGAGATTAGACTTCGGGGCTTGGGGTTGTGGCCCTAGCATCTGGCCAATATGAAGGTACAGATACCCAATAATTAACTTCGTGTAAGGTAGTATAGGTTTGTGGGACGCCTATGAAAATTTAGTGCTTGGAGCCAGTAAGGCTACACCATAAATCCCGACTCTTAACCCTAAGCCATAAAGCCACTCAGCATCCATTTGAGGCCTGCGGAAGGGCAACTGGACGAGTGAGTTAGGTAGACTCCAAGGGTGGAAAACGGGGCAGAAGGTCCAAGGACTGAGGGGTGTAGGATTCACGGTTTAGTTGTCCCGGGTTTTGACAGTATGTTCTTTGGTACCTAAAGACATGATAGTTGAGTCCTTGGCCCCTGAAACAGATCCTCTAAGAACGTATAACCCACTTTCAAGGAGTCCTTCTCTGGAGGGTGTCCCATAACAGGGTCCCTTGAGGAATCCACCCAGGCAAGAGCTCTTTTTTGGCTTCGAGGTTTTTGGGATAGGGTGGCAATGTAGGGTTCAGAGATTCGGGTTCTGAGGCTTTGGATGGAAGATTCGGGTTGGAAAATGACGTTGTAGCCTATACCCTTACCCCAAAAAGTTTGTAAACTCATAGCCCAAAGCCCTTACATGGCCCAAAAGGCCATTGTTCTATACCTACTTGTGGGTTTCAAGCAGACAGACTTTCTGAAGTTCGGGGTTACTCTTTCGGTTGCATCGCCCATGGGCTTCTTATTGGTTCTTAGTATGGAAAAGGAATATATTACCTAGGATCATATAATGGTTTAGGGTTTAGGGTTTAGGGTTTAGGGTTTAGTAGGTTTAGGGTTTAGGGACTATAAGGATTAGATTCCCATCGTTCATACTAAGAACCAGTGAGTGTTCTTTTCGCTGTTTTCGTTTGATTTGGACGTCAGCCTCACTTTTGTTGGGCTCTTCTGGTCAATGTTTGGAGTCTACTACTTGCGACGTCGGTGACTCGGTGACTTGACGAAGAGCATGAGGGGGACTAGATTGCGAAACGCTTCTGCTTCCAGGTTAATTAAGCGTGCTTACAGTCCAATGATTTAGAGTTTAAGATTTAGGATGTAGGTTTTGGCTTGGGGTTTAGGACTCATTTGCTTAGGATTTAGAACTCGTGGTTTGGAGTTTGGGATTAAGGGGAAAATCTTGCACCACTTAGGATCCCCAATGCATTGCGGTTCTTAGGGTACTGGTTACCCTAAACCCTAAGACCTTGTCAGAAGTACATTTGTATGCAGGCAAGTTTGCGGACCTTGAACTATCGAGTGATGTTTAGGCGGTTAAGGGTTCAGGGTTTCAGCCCTAAAGGGGGAACGCCAAGGAGATAGCAGGAATCAGTAGGAGTGTAAGGACACTGGTAGGTAAATTCCTGTTTTTTCCTACTGTATTCTTGGGGTTCCCTGCTTTGGGGTCCCCACTCCCTTCAAGGCTTCTTTACTGGCCCTCAGTAAGCTCTTTAGCCCCTAATTGCTATAAGCCCTACTGCGAAGCCCTAGTCCCTGAACCCTATACATTGTACATCCTAAACTAGACTGCTTCTTCAAAGTGATACCAACCCACCACCTAAACTTGCAATGTTGTAAATCCTAAACCCTCGAACCCTAGCTACAAGCCACCATCTAGACTTACAATGTTGTATACCCTAAACCCTAGAATCCCAGCTATAAGCCCCTAGAAGTTGCAAGACCCTGCGCTTTTCAATGCTTCAGCAGCCTCGCTTTGACCTACCCTAAGGATCCAAGGACCCAACTCATGGGGTTTTAGGGTTTAGGGTTTAAGGGTTCAAGGACCCAAATCATGGGGTTTTAGGGCCCAAACACCATTAATATTATATGTATTTGGGCACTAAAACCTTGTTATGGGTCCTTGGACCCTTAGGGCTAATCAAGACGTTCATGCCCCTCTTCACAGGAAGCAACGTTCTGCGGTAAGCACGGGTTCTTTTTCCCGATATTCCCCAAGAGCCCAATGCCAGGCTCAAAATCCCTGATGAATACAAACATTGAGCCGCAAGCCCATCTCAAACCACAACCGTAGCCTACAAGCCCAGCTACATATGGAAGGCCTTACCGTTTCTAAGCCCCCATGTATAGATAGCTATGTCACCTATAACCAGGGGACATAGCATGCGGGTAACTGTGCTTCTGGGCTTTGATGGTAAGGAATCTTCAGTCTACTTACGACTTCATCCAGCACCTTGGTTACAGAATCCTGTTGCGTGATGCGTGCTCAGATTTGTTGGGAGGATCTAGAAAGTAGAACCTCCAGTTCGTACCATCTACTTCTTTTGGTTGATTTCTATTACCACCATATAGAATAATTTCTAGGAACCCTTAACGGGGATCTCCTGTATAGATCCTCCCAAGGCTCTGGGTAGGGTCCTGCACAAATAGCACCGCCCGTACCTTCAAAACTGGGTGCTGTTGTCCCAAGCTGTTAGTTTCCCGCAGGCTCCACGGGTCCAGAGAACATTATTAGGCGTTGGGGATTAGATTCTTTGGCCTCTTAACTTGGTAGACTTTTTTGCAGGCCACCTGATTCGCCCTAAACCCTAAACCCTAAACCCTAGTGAAGCTAGAAGCACTTAACTGCCTGGACCCCAAGCTCTAGAGCTTTGGTCGGGGACTCCAAAACCAATGAGGGCCCAAGCTCTCAGATACTGTGATTGTACATAGATACAGTGCTACACAAACAAATTGAATTACAATATTTGGTAGTTTCCCAGAACAAGGGGACCCCAATATAGGCCCCCCAAATACTATAATCCTTTTTATTGGGGCCCCCAAAAAGGTACCCTGATTTTGGGAAACCTTCATTTGGCACGTAAACTCCATGAGTTGGGAACTTGGATTCTGCGGGGTGCAGCCAATATCCTATTTGGACGGACTCTGGTCAAAGGACTTCCAAGACTCCTGCATTCCGACATGGGATCAACCAGTACGACTTTAGGCTATACACTGGACTGGAGGGTCTTTGTGAAGTTCTGGCGAGTGAGGTACTGTTGTATAAGGGGGGCGCTCTTGAACAGACCTCCATACGATGATCAAACGGGACTCCCACAATCCTTTTGAAGTCCATGCACATGACTCATGTCTCCCTTGGGTATTTAAGGACCCCCAATATCTACCAGGGCCTCTTTCACTAAACCCTAAACCCCAAACTCTGGGATCAGTAGATTGGGGCTGTGATTAGGCTTTGGGGCCGTTTTGGGGTTTTTTAGGGTCGGTCTAGCTTCTTGCGAAGATCCCAGCTTCCAAGCAAAACGCATACACAGGATAGTATGGGACCCCACGCCCTAAGCCGTCAATGCATGGGCCCTTGCACCCTTCCCCTTCAAGCGCACTTTAGTAGTGATTTGCGTACTGAGCTGCTATATCTGACCCAACATACGGTGAATGCGACAAATCCTGCGTGACCGTGGGTACCTTATAACTTGGGAAATAGGGTATCATACTCGAATAAAGTCATGCAGGATTTTGAGTAGCAACAGTAGTGACTGGGACCTGTATCCTCCCCGCATCCCCACTGGCTGCAAACGGTCCCGGCTTTCTTTTTGCAAAATTTCTACACTTGTCCTTAACCCCTGTATATCCCGAGCTGTGTACGTACATGTACTGATGGATATGTGCAGTACATGTATGCAATGACGTGTATACTCTTGTGTGCCCGCTATGCTGTAGTTCACCTGCTCCGTGTCAGGCTTGTGAAAGAGCAGACTGCGCCCAAGGGGCGTATTGTGGCCTTGCTTACAGGCCTGGTATATAGACAGAATGGCTTTGGGTAGCTTATAATAAGATCCCCATATACCTCATATTCTATCTACTTACGGGGGACTATGGCGATTGGCATTGTCGGGTCTAGGGTGGAGGGCTTGAGTTGGAGCTGTAGGTAGTTCCCCCAAAACGACTTGCGTTGCATGCAGGGTGGAGAGGTTTAAAGGCTTGAAGGACTAAGGCTGTAGGTTCAAGGGTCCAGGAATAAGGGTTGAGGGCTCAGGAGGGTTACGACTTCGCCTTCGTAGCGGTTAAGGGCTTTTTGGCCTGAGTATTTAGGGTTAAGGATTTACTGTTTATAGGGTTTAAGGTTTAGGGCCGGGTTTACCACAAGGCTCCTCAGACCATGTGGGGCTTTCTGGGGGAAGGTTTGGGCTTGGGGGGCGGAGGTTTGGGATCTCATTATGAGGGCCCGAGAGCCTTAGGGTAGAGGCCTTGGTAGTGCAGCCCCTAGACTTCAACAGGCCTAAGGCCTAAACCCTAAAACCTCAGCCTTGGACCCTAAACTCCTAGGGTTTTGGGCTTCAGGGTCCTAATAAGGGCTCTGAGCTCTGAACCCTAAACCCCAAGCCCTAGCGGGCCTCTTCTGCAGAAAGTTCCATGCAGGTCACGTGCATCGCGACTTTAGCACTGAGTTGCCAAGTGCCTCCTTTCTTTTTGAGACCTTCGGCTGAACTTTAGGGTTTAGGGTTTAGGGTTTAGGGCTTAAGTTTAGGACTTAAGTTGATGTGATGCGCCTATAGGTGGGTGTCCCAAGATTAGGGGGTACTTGCCAACAGCCACGCGGTTTAGGGTTTAGGGTTTAGGGTTTAGCTTGGGTGTCCTCATAATAAGGCTCAACGTATTTTGGGGTCTATATCGGGGGCCCTATTTGGGAAACTACATAGACAGATTTACATGTAAATTATGCGGGCAGTTCAGACTCTCCGAACTTTCCGGCAGCACCACATCTTGCGCTTGAAGCCATTTAACCAGGAAGCGTAGACTGTGCATCTCAAATGCAGGCAAAATGGACCATAAAGGTATCGGCCACCTATATATCTATATGAGCCATAATCTAGCCTCCTTGAAGGGGGGTTATATATGGGACTATATAGGGGACTACTATAGGGATTATTAAAGGGGATACTAGGAGTTTAGATTATGGATCATATATGTATATGATATGTTTGCCCATAGGGCTCTTGAGTAACGCCACCACACTTCAGACCCGCATGTTGTCGCAGGGCTATCACAGGGTCCTAAACTTTGGCTTGGGTTTATCTTAGGGTTTAGGGTTTAGGCTCTAAATTCGAATCGTTCAACTCTAAACCCTAAACTCCAAACCTAAAACCTTCGAATTTCTGAACCCTCAGACTGTAAAACCTGAAGCACGAGTCCCTAAACCCTAAACTTTTCCCAAAGCCCCTAAGCTCCACCCAACATCCCAGGCTGTGAGTACTGACTTGTTCAATGCTGGGGGTTGCATTTTAAGGCCCGATAAGAGATCCAGGATCTGGAGGGTTTGGGGTCAGGTCTCTTTGCGTGCATTATAGGGACATGCGGGGTTTAGGGTTACGGATCTAGAGTTTAGAGTTTAGGTTTACGGGTAATTAGATGGTGGGAATGGTGGAGAATCAACTGTAAAAGGACAGGGAATTTGAAATGATGACTTAGATTATGAAACCTGCATGTGTTCATAGCGGCATAGCGGTTCTTGGTTGAGGGGTTTGGGCCTCTGCGTAGGGAAAAACAAAATCAAGTTATGACAGGGCAAGCTAGAATCGTTTAGAACCAAAATTACGAATGACATCAGTTGTTGGTAATACCCCTGGCTAAGCTGGATGCGGGGAAACTCACCTCAAACCCCTGCTTGAGACATCTTTGCGCAGCCCTGATACAGGACTCTCACGCTCGACAAGCAATGCTCAAGCATCCAAGGATTCTAAAATCATCGTGTCCACATGCTAAAACCCTAAACCCTAAAACCCTAACCCCTAAAACCCTAATTTCTAAAAACCCTAAACCCTAAAACCCTAAACCCTAAAAACCCTAAACCCTAAAATTCTAAATTCTAAGCCCTTTCTAGCTATTCTCAGGAACGTCACGAATCTGGCCTGTGCCAAGAGCTCAAGTTGCCGCCTAGGCAGAGCCAATGCCAGGCCCAAAGCCATACCTTCACAAGGGGTTTGGGGTTCAGGATTTTTGGTTCAGGGTTTAGGGTGTTGGGTTTCAATGTTTTGAGTTCCGGGTTTTAGGTTCGCGTTGGGACTTCTAGTTTAGGGGTTTCAGGTTCAAGGTTTCAGGTTCAGGGTTTTGGGTTCAGGGTTTTGGGTTCAGGGTCTTAGGTTCAGGATTTTGGGCTTGAGTTCAGGGTTTGGGGTTCAGGGTTTTGGGGTTAGGGATTGGTGTTTACGCGGACTCCAAAAGGCATGCAGGATTTAGAGTTTGGGGTGTAGGATGGTGTAGGTTTTGGGATTTAGCGAGTCAAGGATATACCTAGACCTCCCAATTACCTCATGATGGCCTATGTACCCGAAACTTCGGTGTTCATGGCTAGTGTAGTGCCAGGTATGGCTTGGTGCTCAGGATTACGTGTCTATGGTTCAGGGATTGGGGTTTAGAGGTTAGTGTTCAGGATTCAATGCCTGGGAATGAGGGCTTGGTGTTTCGATTTTCGATCTTATAACAAGGCCCAGGGCTCAGCGTTTAACGTTCGGCGTTCAGGGTTCTTTGTAAGAAGGATAGGGGCTCACAAACACTAAACCCTATGTGACGTACCTTCGGGATGAAGTGGGGTCGCAAAGGATTGCGATTTGACAAGTTCACATACGAGTCTGAAAAGAAAATGGCAACAAATTGTTGTTGCTGCTTTCTACATTGCTGGGGATTTAGGAAGCTTCCCAAGGGTGTCGTGTGTCAATCCGGGAGAGCATGTTAGGGTTTAGGGATATGGTATGTGTCATTCGGTTAGGATTTAATCAGGGCTCCGGAACAGCTACTAATTTTGATGAGGGAGAGAATCTTGCGCAACCATGGTTATTATAGGGTTTAGGGTTTAGGGATAGGGTAGTGGAAGATTAGCTTCCACAGGCTTGGTTTTCGGAATTTGCGATTGCAACAGAACCTAACTTTAAACCCTAAACCCCAGAATTTCCATCAGCGCAAATGCATCGCAGGTCAGAACCTGGCCTCTTTGTCAGGGACTCTTTATAGAGAGTCCTGTTATCTTCAGACACTTTTCCGATCGCGATTAAACATCTAGCGGTTGGTTGGTGTGTGAACCTTGATTTCGGGTCCATTCTACAAAGGGCATAGATTTTGTATGATTTTGTGTCCCCGTTTTTCAGGCTTTGGGAAGTGTATGATCTTAAAACATACTCCCTACCTGGACCCCCGAAAGTAGGTGAAACAACAGCCCAAAACTCCTACAGGCCATCATTCTACATACGTTTAGGATCCAGGTACACCCAACACCCATTGGACCCTTGTGACTGTAACAAGTTCAGGTGGCCTGGCTGTATGGCACTTAACTTTCATTTCGGTGTGAGGGTTGATGTGCGAATTTCCGAGAATTGGGGCCTTTTTCTGGTTACCTGGGCCCCAAATCTATGTAGAATAATGGCCTTTATGGCTATTATTATGGGTTTAGGGCTAATATTTTACATACTTTTGGGGTTTAGGTAGTCCCTATACTTGTACTGGTGGGGTCGATTTTGGGCTCCCTTTGTTTGTGAACGGAGTCTGCTTTGTAACGGAATCAATCTAATAAGGATGCCAGTGTGCTGGGATCTGTGTTGGGCTCTCCCTGCTTCTGAACACCCTAAACCCTACACCCTATGATAGGCCTATGAAGCTCCTTAAAGGGGGGATGGTATTAGGAGTTTAGACTATAGCTCGTAAGGTTGGTAGTTTCTCAAGCTTTCAAAAAATCTGCCTGGCATGCAACATAGCAACTTCTGTGCGCTTTCAAGATGTATCTGGGCCTCCACAGCGCCCATAATATTAGCCTGCATACCGACCCCCACTATCTTCAGGTTAATGGCCAGTATAATAATTGCCTTTAATCCATTATTTGTAGTTAAGTGCCGCTATAGTAATCGCCTGTATTCCCGTTATGATCGCTATATACACATTCTCTTGGGATTAAGGGCCCGCATTTAGACCGTTATTTTCATGTCTGTTATGGTCATTACTGTTATGTTGTTACTTCCACTACTGCTGTTATTTTGTTGGTAATAGAAATGTGTTATGCTAGAATTTCTATCTTTAATGTTGTTGGTTGCATGAGAATGGGTATTTGGGAGGTCCAACTAAGCCCCGTGGCTGCACCAGATCTTCAAATTTTGGATGCCATATACCGTGGACTCTTCTACAACCCCCTCTCCATGTAGGGCGAGTAGAGGGACATCATGTGTCTTTAGACTCGACGCAGAAGTTGCCCTTGTGCTCTTTCAACAGTTTAGTACAAGAAGGTTGTGCAGACTTGCAGCATCAACAACGGCTCTGACAGTTTCCGTGTGGACCCTAGGAAAGCGCAGCATTGCATAGACCAAGGATTTTAACATAGAATATAACCCCTATATAACCCCTATATAATTACAGTAGTTTCCATTTTCTTGTCCATTATTCCAATATAACCCCTAACCCTTATCACGATAATTCAGTTCTTATCGTGCAGGCACAGGGACATGCTGGAGAACATGGGGACATCCGAACTTCTTGAAGGGGAGCAGCTCGGAGACAGCATGGTTGATCTAGTGTGGTTTAGGGTTTAGGGTTTAGGGTTGTGTACCCAGACGCCTGGGAGGATCTAGCCTAAACCCTAAACCCAAAAGCAATTTGGTAACTCACACGATTGTTGAGAGACGTTTAGGCACCTCTAGAGGGGATCTATCTTCTATAGTCCCCCTTAAGTAGATAGAATACGTTTTGGGTATATCACGATAAGATCAAAAGATACCCCACATTCTATCTACATAAAGAGGATTATAGATCCTTCCAGGGGTCTGGGTGTGCGTGTAGCCTACAACCGGAAGGCTAAATTTCAGGCCCAGACTTGGAGTGCGGTTTAGCGTTAGGGGTTGAAAGTTTATGGTAAAAGGTTTAGGGCTGAAGGTTAAGGGTTTAGGGTTCAAGGTTTAGGTTTAAGGGCTTGGGGTTTAAGGTTTAAGGTTTAGGGTTAGGTCTTGGGTTTCAGGGTTTAAGGTTAAGAACTTGGGGTTTAGGGTTTAAGGTTTAGGGTTAAGGGCTTGGGGTTAAGGGTTTAAGGTTTACGGTTAAGGGCTTGAGGTTCAGGGTTTCAGCTTAAGGTTTAAGGGCTTGGGGTTTAGTGTTTAAGAAGGTTTAGTGTTTAGGGGGCTAGGAGTGTGCGTATATACATACAGATTTTCAATCCCCCACCCTAAGGCTCCTAAGACCATGTGGGGCTTTCTGGGGGAAGGTTTGGGCTTTGGGGGCGAAGGTTTGGGATCCCACTATGCGGGCCCAAGAGTCTTAGGGCAATGAATCATTGTCAATCAAGGCTAAAGAGGGGGGGAACCTGGGGTGGTGAGGAGACGATTGGGAAGCTTGGGGGACCTTAAGGGCTTCGGGTTTAAGGTTTAGGCTTTACGGTTTTTTGGGTTTAGGATTTTGGTTTTGGGGTTTGGGGTTTTAGGGTTTAGGGTTTAGGGCCCAGGGAATAATACACCCTCCCAAGCCAACATGAACTCCCACGAGTGTGATATAAAGACCTATGGCCATTTCAAGAAAGGGCTTTCTGGCGTTTCATGTTAGTCAGCCTTTAAATTCATTACTTTGATTGCATGGTCTTCTTTTTCGTGTTGAAAAGGGTCGTGGAAGCTCTTGGCCATGCCAACTGATTAGAACCCTGTCTAAACACATCCTAAACCCTAAGCCTAAACCCTAAGCCCCAGACCGCCTCGTCAAGCTCTCACCCCTCAGGCAATTTTACACAACCTTGATCAGGCTAAGGGTTTGGGACCCCTCAGGCAATTTTACACAACCTTGATCAGGATAAGGGAGCCTTCTTACAGTAGGAGTAGAGTTTTAGGGTACCCAATGGACAAGCTTCCAGGCCCCTACATGGAGACTTCCCCAATTCAGGGGGCCAGCCCCGTTTATTCCACGTTTTATGAAGGATGATCCTGTAACAGGGGCTCCCAACAATTGGACACTCATATCGTGCGAAGTCTCGAAAGGACCAGTATGCAAGATGTCGTCCCGTATAGGGTCTCCACATGCAACAAGTGGCGCAGCCAGACATGTTCCTCTGCCTAGCAGAAGAAACAGAGGCTTGAAAACCGTTAAGGCAATGCAGTTATCAATTTTCAGAAATGCCGACTTAGACCCTAAACCCTAAACCAGAATTTCTACAGAATCCTGGTCCCACATGCAGGTCCCGCGTTCTCGCTTCCGGTGCTGTTCAGCAGCTTCGGCTGGAATTCGTTGCCCCAGAGGTTGAGCTCATTTGGCTCAACCCTACTTGACCTTCCCAACATACAACCCACTACTGGTTTAGGGTTTAGGGTTTGAAATCCTGCATGACCTTACTATACTCTAATACCATTATTCCCAGGGGATAAGGTACTGAGGGCCATGCAGGATTTACCTTAAGGCTCTTGGACCTTCAAAATGGGCTCCCAAGCCCCCAAAGCACAAACCTTGCCTCGGAAAGCCCCAAATAGTCCTAGGAGCCTATCCACCGTAGTACCCCTTTTCCCTTTCTATTTTGGGGGGGTCCTTATTAAAGTTGAACAGTAGGTAAGAGGGCTCCGTTATTATCCTTAGGGTTTAGGGTTTAGCGTGTTGCTGGGAAACCTAGTTCCGAATACAGGATAATGGTTTCCTACTGGCTGCTTGGAAGGTACCTGGACCTTTCAAAGTGCGTAGACTAATGGCCAATAATCATGAACAACAACAGGCCCTAAACCCTAAACCCTAAAGGGAAGCCCTGAGATATGTACCTTCTTGCATTTCTGCTTCTGCAACCCGGTTGGCACCTTATCTTAAGCTCCGGTTTAGGGCCTAGGATTGAGGGTCGGTCCAAACTGTAGTTTCCATTTTCTTTTCCATTATCCCTATATAGAAATCCCATATAACCCCGAGATATACCCTATTACAATGTAGTAGTTTCCTTTGTCTTCTCTACCTTCTGTATGATCCTACAACGCAGGAACCCCTCCCTGGGCTACCGTTAAGGTGTTTAGGGTCTAGGGTTTCCCTCCCAGTTAAGGCCCAAAGTCTCCAAACCCCTAAACCCCTTAACCCGATAGACTTGCAGCTAGGGCAGCTAGATGGCAGTAAGCAACGGTCCATGCATACCAATATGTTGCACCTCACCCCCCCCCCCCCCACTCCTGGTTTTCAATGTCCCACCGCCTCCCCACCCAGGCACCCATGTAGAAGGTCTCTTTTGAGGGAATCATGTGAGGGATGGGGGGGGTGTTCAATCTTAGCCTGAGAGCAGCACTCGTCGTTGGAGTTTCCAACTCTGCAACTGGCATCGACTTTGCAACAGCACATCAAGCTTGGAAAATCCCAAAGGATGTTTCCTAAATATTTCTACCTAATAAGGACTGTGGTGTAGTGTTGTCTTTTGTTCTAGGGGGGTCCCTCATCTGTTGAAAATCCTCAACATGAAGTGCCAATAATCCTCAACCTTAAACCGTACGGTGTGCAGAAGGAACATTCCACCACCTTTTTAGCTTACAACCTAGGAAACCCTAAGCTCTAAACCTTAATGAATGAAAGTCTACATACGATCCTGAATGTTGCACGACTTCCTTCATGCGTTCCAAAACTTGAAATCCTAAAGCCCTAAATCCTAACTAACGCCCCAAATCCTGAAGCCTAAGCCATTCCTCCATCCATTGTATCTTACTTGCAGGTATTCCACGCTCGATGCGGCGGAGGGCGGCTTCCGTCCCTCAGAAGCGCATGTTTAGGGTTTAGGGTTTAGGGGCTCAGGCTTTAGGGGTGTAGGGTTTAGGGGTTTAGGGTTTAGGGGTTTAGGGCTTGGGGTTTAGGGTTGTAGGGTTTTAGGGCTTAGGGTTCCTAAACCCTAAACCCACCCTAAAGTCAGACTTGGATCCGTTTATTGGGCTTACATAAGCTGAAGTCTAAATTCCTTAAAGGGGGTTATATAGGAGATTTGCTCGTCATTAAAGGGGGATACTAGGAGTTTAGACTACTTCTTATATAGGGGATCTGGGTACAGAGCTTTAGATCGGAATAATACTGTCGGACATGGAAAATGAATCGGCAAGTAGGATCAAATATGTCTATATGCTTTTACTGCAGGATCAGGTTCACAGGCATTGGGCATGGCGTATAAGGAGCTGCTGTGCACGAAAGTTAACGTGGCTCTAAACTCTGTTTTTTTCGACAACTTCGGAACTCCAACGCTTGTGGGGTTCCTTTCTTGCATTAGGAAGGCTGAGTCGTACTTGATTGCAATTGCTGTTCCCGATATCATTGCCTTGATGGGAAGTATGTTTCCGCATGTATCCTTGTAGGATCTTTACACAAATTTCCTCAGATCGCCTTTCGATCACGCCGCCTTCATAGGGTTGAGGGTTTAGCGCATACCTACCCGTAGTGCCTCTCTCCACAGAATCTGCAGAATTGCGATTCTTAACCCTTGGCTTCTTGTAGGTTTCCATGGTTAGCATCCTAATATAGCCAAAGCACACTAGACCCCCCCAAACACGCTTCGATACATCTAGGCCTAGGTTACAGCCCCCAAGACAACCACAAAACTTCAATCATATCTCCGTGTCATGTCCATATTCTTTCCAACTTGATTCTCCATTATTCTAATTATTTGGTAGTTTCCATGCAAAGGGAGAGATCCCAGCGTAGGCTCTCAAATGCTCCGATCCTCATCGCATTGCAGAGACTGCCCAAAAAGGTACCCCCTCATTTTGGAAAACCCCAAAATACAGGGAGAGGCCCCCGAGTTACATAAATATATTTATAAGTCTTATAACTACAATTTATGGAACTTGTAACCATATGTAGCCCAACTTATAACCCAATTTATGACTATAGGGGGCCCCTGCTTGCAGGCCGCTACGGAACTAGTCCTCTTATCTCAAGCATAGGTCCGAAGGCTAAAGTCATAACCCTGAACCCATACACTCCTAAACCCTGAACCCTAAACCGAGAACCCACCCTAAACCCTGAACCCTGAACCCTAAACCCTTATCCCTAAACTGAGTGAGCCCTAAAGCCTAGACCCTAAGGTCTTCTTTCTGTCCGAAGAAGCTGATGTCCTCGGACCGCAGGTCTATGAGGGATTTTCGTTTTAGGGTTTTTTGGTTTAGGGTCCCAAAAGTATGTAGGGTTTAGGGGTTTAAGGGTTTAGGGTTTAAGGGTTTAGGGTTCAAGGGGTTTGGGGTTTAGGGTTTAGGGTTGTGGATTTAAGGTTCTTTTGTATAGGGTTTGGGATGTAGTTGCAGGTTGAGGGCTGAGGGTTCCAGGTTTTGAGTTTTGGGCTTCGTTGGCTTGAGGATTGCAGTTTAGGGTTTAGAGTTCCAGGTTTTGAATGGGAGTTTTCGGGGCCTAGTGTTCCAGGTTAACCCTAAGGGTCCAAGGA